CGGGCGAGTTCGGGTTTTAATTTGGATTACTTAATTCGGGCTAATTTCAAGTTAAAATCAATTTGACTTGGATTATTTAATTCGGATTAATTTTTTTAAGTGTAAAATTTATTTTTTCAAGTGTAAACCTAATTTTTTCAAGTAATCTGAGATAAAGAGCGAGATACAGATGAAAGAGAGAGAGAATGAGAGAAGAATGAATGACGAGTGAGAAAGGAAGACTAAGAGTCTAAGACGACTCAAACAAGTGACGATTGATAGAGGGAGGCTGAGAGAGGAAAGAGTGACGAATGAGAAAATGATTTGAGAATGATGGAAATGCAAGGATGAAAACTTGAAGTAAAGTGAAAATTTTGACTCTAAATAATGAAGATAAATATTAATCCTAATTAAATATATTTATATATTTTATGTGTATTTTTGGGTTGAACCCTACAACCCGAGACCTCCACCTAAGATTTGCCAAAATTCAATTCAGATTGAGTTTTTTTGTTCAGACCCCCAAAATATTAAAAATTCTAACTCAAGCCCTTTTTTTTAGGGTTAAACTCAGGTTGAATTTGGGTTGGCCTGTGTCAAGTTGCACCCCTAGTTTGCACCTACTATTTTACGAAAAATTAGATATTAGGATACAAATTTGGGTGGATAAATGATGCAGAATAAATGACAAAAATATTAATATTTTATTTGAATGCGGTCAATGTCATTCAATTAAGAAAAAATATGAGATTTTTTTTTGTATTTCTTATTTTTATTAGGAAACTATATTTTATTATTTACTAGTTTAAGTAAAATTTTATTTTATTTAATTTTTAATTTATTTAGGATTTTAATTTCTTAGTTGTTTTAGATTTTTATTACTATTTAAAGTCTGGTAAATCATAGGACAAAATAATTTTTTATCGTCGAATACAATTAAGAGAATTGTCTCTTTTCTTTTCAATTATTTTAGTATTCTCAGGAATCAATAGAGTTATTGAAACATTTAGGATTGATATTATTTGTGAATCAACAAACCTAGAATAGGAATTTAAATTGGTATTTGTATACAAATTATCGATTTATTTTCATTTTTCCTTTTCGTTTGTTATACTTTTCTTTTTATCCTCTTCCATACATTAATAAGTGTTATTTAGAACAATAGTAATGTTATAAAATACTTAATTAGAGATTTAATTTAATGCAGTCATTGAATTAAATATGAGTTTCAACACATATGAAACTCACTTAAAATTTAATAACTATAATTGATTAATTCCCAATATTAATAAGTCTTCAAATTAAATTCAAATAATATTTTCCATAGAATTAAAACTTGGCCAATGAATTTTTTTTCACAATTACATCACTTTTCAACCTATAAGCAACCACAATCTTACGTACACACACACCTAACAAAGTCAACAGAACTATTGGACATGTCAAAGTGTTAAATTCAAGCTTGAGATGTTATCCCGTGGTAAAAATTATAATTTTTTAAAACTAATTTATAATTTTTTTGAAATATAAATTATAATTTTATAGGGCATGATCAATCATGAAATATTATAATCGATACCGAAAATTTACGATTAATCATGAGTGTCTGTGATCGTTCATGGCATTTGATGGGTCAAGCCCAAGGGCTCAACTCACGAAATAAGCCCAGACTAAATTAATAGTGTAACTCCAAAAAGATCCAGCAAAGTCCAGCCTAAATAGTTCACATCCGATCAAGTTCATCAGATTCAAGGAGTTACGTCAGCAGGGGGAGCATACAGAGTCATCCAAAAGCCTTCACGACACCTTGAAAAAAGTCAACACTCATCTCATCATTTGACCGAGTCTCATGGAGAGCACCATAATTGCCTCGCCCCGTTGAGAAGAGATCGTCATTTTCACTAGAATAGTCACTTGGTTACTAACAACTCGTCTCAATCTATTATGGAGCGACTATAAATTGTAAACTCCGCAACACTTAGGGGACATCACATTCAGTCGAGCACAACTCTCTCTTTTCTCTCTTAGCTTTTAACTCTCTGCTCTCCCTGCTCACTTAAATAATAAAGTATTCGTGGCCCTAATTATTCAAAGTGAACGTAGGCCACGTTGACCGAATCACTATAAACTTTGTCTTATTTTTGTCTATATCTATTACCTCTTAATTATTGCATTTATTATTATTCATCTGACAAGTGGTGTACAAACCCAATTTGTGCATCATTAGCATTCCCTTGAGTAATTGAAACTTATCTTTTCAAAGAGTTATAAATTTACCATAAAAAGTGATAACCGACGATACCAATACCCAAAAAAAAAAAAATTCGACACCGTAGACTTTCCCTCTCCGATTTATTCCTTCCAATTACATTTATCAAGTAATGAAAACTATGTAATCGTTATCATACTTTTAACTTTTTATTATAAATGTAAATTCGTAGCAATCAACCTATCTTTTTCAATTCACTTGTAAAATTTGATAGAAGAGTAATGTTATTGATACCTAAAAACTTGACGTAATATACTAACCTACAAATGTGACAATGTAATGGTATAATAGTATTCTTATGACGGTAATTGTTAGATTTTTTTTATTGAGACTCTATGACTTAACACATTATTATGTTAATAATTAAATTAGTTTTTTAAGTTTCAATAACATCACTCTTAATAAATTATCACTTTTAGTTAACTCACTTAACATTTGTGCAGATTTTTTGGTTAATTTTAACAATATTCACCCACAAAAAAACTATTTAATGGATTTTTTTTATTAATAATGCTATGTATTAATGATGGAGTGATATCATCTATTATAATCAATATTTCCCATTGCATTATACTGGTGGAAAAATTTACATTACAAAAAAAAAAAAAGGTTCCATATGGTATACAAAATTATTACTTTTAATGGTAAGATTATACTTTTGAAAAGAGAATTTATGACTATCGAGGAAAGTGTATGATCGATCATAGATCCCTTGAACAGTTGTAACTCTTTTTTTACGAATTGTAATTTAATTTTTAAAAATTATAACTTAACCTTCAATCGTTGTAATTTCACGATTTATTGTAATGTTTTAAGATTGATCATACCTTTACAAGTTATTAGTAATACACGACGTGCGTTGCATATAAATAAATTTAAATATTATTATATTTTATAAAAAATATAAATTATAATTAATTTATATTTTAATTATTACTAAATTTAATTATTTATTTATTCTATAAATTTTTAAGCAATTAATTTGTTGTTTATTTAGGTATCTGTCAGACTTTTTTAAATATTTGTACATCTAATTATATTATAGAATTAATAATTTTTATTTTGTTAAATAGATTGATGAGATCACCCTTCTAATATTATTATTTTATGACATATCAAAAAAATAAAAAATAAAAAATATTTGATTATAGATCATATAGATATAGATAAATTATATATAACTGTATTATTAATAAATGAGTTCAAAAAAATTTAGAAATTTTTATAAAAGAATCAAAAACAAATTAAAAGTTAAATATGTGTAAAACAATAAAAATATATAAGAGGGTATAATTGACCTTAGAATAATAATTATGAATAAAATAAAAAATTAAAATTTTTTCGACATTTATGAATAAAGTATAGGTAATTATTATATCAAAAAATTATATATTAACCTCAAACAATTATAATTTTCGATATACGGAGTATTTCCGTACAGTCAATCTTTACTTTCTATAATAATAGGTACAAGTGTACAGCAGTGTAAACCCAGCCGTACGCCAGTCACGAATAGACAAAAATATAAAGATGAATTACATTCACTCCTGCTAAAGTTTGTCATTAAATCATACTGACCCCCTCAGGTATGAAAAATTACTCCATAATCCCTTGAGATTTGGTTTCATGTAACACATAGCCCCAACCATTTAGATCCGTTTAAAAAGTAGTTCAATTTTGATGACATCAATATATATTTGCCATAAAATTCCCAAATAACCCATACAAGACCAAATACTAAATAACTATTAATTTGGTCAAAAAATAAGTCAAAATTATTGGCCAAAATTTAATCAATACTTCAATTTGGTCAAAGAAGTATCCCACTCAATACATGGGGTGACAATTTCTTATAGAACATAAAAACATTACTCGAATTTGACACGAAATTAGTAGGTTATACTTGATCATTTTTTAACACGAACCCGATAACACGAATAATAAATGGATTGAATTACTGTCAAAACATAAACAACATGAAATTAAGACGATTAACACGTTTAGCTAATTTTATAAAAATAAAATGCTAAATATTTGTTATTGTTTATTAAACATTGACATAATTATTATACAAAAAAAAATATTTTTACTCATTATTTTTGTTATGTTTATTAAGTCAAATTTTAATTTATAAAAAAAATTTGAGAATGGATTCAATTAATTGATAATAGAATCTGAGAATTAAATTTTAACATTAAGTTTTTTATTTGATATTTTATATAGGTCAATATGAATACGAACACGAATACAAATCCAATATAAAAATATACAAATCAATCTACACAATATAATTAATTAAATAAATTAAATTAAAATTAGTTAGTGTTTCACGCAAACCCACGCTACCCCGACACGAACCGCACAAGACACGATTGCCTCCCCTGATTGTATCCACCAACGCAATTATCCTCTGCCTTTGCCAGCACTGCCGCCATAGACTCCTTCATTGTGTCTCTAATGACACCACCATCCTCCACAACACACACACACACACACACGAACACACATTCTTTCCCCCCTCCCCCTCCCCCTCAATGCCATACCCACCACCATCACCCTCCCTTACCTTTGCCATCACTGCCAAACCCTTTTCCACCATCTCTCTTGTGGCACCACCCTTCTCTCTCTTAACAACCACCACCACAAGAACCAAAAACCCCAAACCCAAGAAAGCCCATGGCAATCCATCAAACTGGTTTAACCTCAATCAAAGATCGTCCTCACTGCATCTTCGCCACCAAACCAGACACACATGCACAGATCCATCGCGAAGAGAAAAGGATGTGCTAGGAGCAGGAGGTCCGAGCCCATAATTGCCACTACAGACATTTCCAGTTCCTCCATGAATATTACCATAACTGGCGTTGGTTTGAGCAGTTTTACCGCCTCCAAAATTGCGTCCAATTCCACCACGTCCACTAAGAACACTATAACCACCCACAGCAAAGGCACTTATTGGGCACAAAACGCTATTGTTGACACCATCAATAGCTGCATGACTGCAATTTCTACTGGGGAATTACCACTCCAATCCCAGGCCATCAAACCAATTTTCGGACCTAGACCTGTGGGTATCCTCTCCAATTTACATAAATTGGTTGGGATGTGGTTGTGGAGGTTAATGGAGGGTAGGTAACGGTAAGGGTGGCGTTGGAGGAAAAAGGCAGAGAAGGGAGAGAGAGAGAGAGAGAGAAGCAGGTTGTTTTTGGGCAAGAGGTTGCATTTGGGTTTGGATTAGTGGTTGGTTCGGGTCGGGTTTGGATTTCGTTTAGGTAACAGGTGGGTTGAGTATGATGGTGTTTATTTTTTTTATTGAAGGGTATAATAGTCATTCTACTTTTTTTTTTTTTTTGTTAGCTTATCGTTACTGACAGGGGATGCCAGTATAATTTCCTATACCTGGGGGGTTCCGTCTGATTTAATGACAAACTTTAGGGGCGTGAATTTAATTTACCCAAAATGTAAAAACTGAATAAAATAAGTATCCGCCTGCAAAAACAATGGCAAAAAAAATTAAAAATAAATAAATAAACAACCCCCACAGTTCAACTTCAACCCCTAATCTGAACCATCTCTTGTCTGGACAGATTCAAACTTATTGTTTTTTTGTCTCTCATGCCTTTTCTAGCAATGTAAAATGGACATATTTATTTTGTCGCTTCCAAACGTTGGCTGTTCTTTGCTCTTTACCATGGGGTGACGACAAGAACAAGGAGAGACAAAGTCTCTTTATTGTTTTTCACGCCTTCATTGCAGCCGACTTTCCAATTTTCTGTTTTTTTTTCCCCCTTAATTAATACTACTTATGGGTATTTAAATTTATTTTGATCCTCTCTTTCTTCTGACAAAGAATTAGTAGGAGATCAGAAAGTTGCAGCGTTCAAAGAACTCACTAAGTCATACAGAGAAGGAGACAGCATCATAACAAAATGGAAAAAAGATTGGTTTAAGACTTAGCAAATTATTGGGTAGTCGCTGGAAATAAAATGCTCGTGAGCTCTCTCTCTCTCTCTCTCACACACACACACACACTTGTAACAATGCTTTTTCAGTGTCATGGTTAATGCATAATTTCTTTGTATATTCTTCTTCATCTGCTAGACATAATTTGATTTGTTTGGGGGGGGGGGGGGGGGTAGAATAACTAGTTAAGTTAGTGTTTTTATGATCTCTTTGAGCATGACAAAAAATAGTGCAATTTCAGATAATGGGTATGACATGAAATTTTAATATAATTAGTTGACATATAAATAGGATCTTGACATAATTATAATTCATGGTTTTTGACTCTTTCTGTTTCAATTGAAGAGGGAAATATCCAGATTTTGCTGAAAAAAGTGGTGTAGGAATTGACAGTGAAAGAAATTCAAAGAGTTGGTCACATGTTTGACCTAAAATTCTGGTCTGGAAAGGAGACTTTCTAATGCTTTAAACCCCAACTTGATTCATTTTTTCACATGATTCCTACTGAAGGAAGACTTAGTGTTGGCTTTCTTACTTTGTGGCTTAGGAGTCATCACTGGTCATTTTCTGTTGATTCATGGCCTCATTAATAGACCGTTTGTTCTCTCATTGTTCTGCAGATCCAAGCATCTAATTGAAGACGCTTTCATCAGATTGCCATGGCATATGGTGATTCCAGATCTGTAAGGTATGATCCCTTTTGTTCTTCACTGTTGTGTTGTTTCTTACAAAGCGTAAATTTGATGTATGGTCACTCTCTGAGTCTATAGGTAGTTTCATGTTTATGACTGATTGATATTTCAATTTACTTCGCATTTTGGCATCAAATGGCCGATAAGTTTGATTATCACATGATTACTTTCAGATTCCATGATAAAATCAAAGGAGATAGTGTGGTTAAGGTCAAATACAAAATAGATGGAACACAAGTACCAGGGGAGCTTAGCTCTAAGAAGGGTGATAAGGTGACTGACACGAATGGAAGATCCTTGAAAGCAAAAGTTTTATCAAGAGTGTTCCCAGAGGACTATGAGAGAGTGAAGAAAAAGATACTGGATCCTCGAGGACCAACCATACATCGGTGGAACAAAATCTTTTTAGCAGCATGTTTAGTTTCTTTGTTTGTGGATCCTCTCTTCTTTTATTTGCCAGTAGTTCGAGACGATGCTTGCATAGATATTGGATATACCCTTGAGGTTGTTCTTACTATTATAAGATCAATTGCCGATATATTCTACATGATTCAGATATATTTTCGGTTTCATACTGCTTATGTTGCTCCTTCCTCTCGTGTATTTGGGAGAGGAGAGCTTGTCATAGACTCTTCTAAGATTGCATCAAGGTACTTGAGCAAAGGTTTTTGGATTGATTTCATTGCTGCACTGCCCCTTCCCCAGGTATGTCAAATCTAAATGCTGTCGGTTTGTGCCTTGCAGGAAAACGATAATGTTCTATGATGTTGAGGACACTGTATTTTCTCTATCTTTCAGGTATTAATTTGGGTAGTTATCCCCAATCTAGGGGGTTCAATAATGGTAAACACGAGAAACGTCCTTCGCTTTATTATCATTTTTCAGTACCTCCCGAGACTTTTCCTTATATTTCCACTCTCGACACAAATTGTCAAGGCTACTGGTGTTGTGACAGAGACCGCTTGGGCAGGGGCTGCCTACAACTTGATACTTTACATGTTAGCAAGTCATGTAAGTTAAAGGGAACTCAGTTGCACTTAAATCAAAGTATCCATATCTATTGTGATTTTTTGCTAGAATTAGGGGTTGTTGACCTCAACACCTGCTGTTCCTTGCAACCAAATTGAGAATAACTGTTCTTAGTATGCTTTATGTTTAAAACTAAGGGCTATACTTGATTTGCTATAAGATTGTTAATATTTTTCAGCTCTTTCAGTTTCCTACTCTTATTTTTCATTTTAGGTTTTAGGAGCTTGTTGGTACCTTCTATCTGTCGAGAGGCAAGAAGCATGCTGGAGACAGGCCTGCAGTTTTGATAAGCCTTATTGTGAATACAGATTCTTTGATTGCCAGAGGGTTGGAGATAGTGATAGAATTTCATGGTTCCAATCAAGCAATGTCACAAATTTGTGCAATCCAAACAGTAGCTCTTATCCATTCGGTATTTATGGTGATGCAGTGACATCGGAAGTTACTTCCTCAATGTTCTATAATAAGTACTTCTACTGTCTTTGGTGGGGCCTGAAGAACCTAAGGTAAGATGCTTTCTTAAACTCTCTAAAGTTGGAGAAACTTCGTTTCCCATGGAAATGAAAACATTACCTTTTCGTTTCCACTAATTCTAAGATGGGTCAGTCTGTTCCAGTACTTTTTCTTGTAAAAAGTTTCTTCATGTAAATTAGTAAGATGAATTTTTATTTGTCAGATTTTCGATAATTATATAGTGGTAATTCAGCTTTTAAGGATTTGCAACAAATGCATTGAAGGGGTTGGATTTAACTTAATTTAGCATAAATGAAGCCAGCAAGCTAATTTTGCGTCCCCGTTTAATTTCTGGGAAATAGAGAGGGATAGAAGTTCTGAATCTTCCAATTATCATCCCAATGAATAGTTGTAAGGTATGTAGAGCTACCAAACAGATCATTGTTTGGTGAAAGAAAGTGGACAGTTTCATTTTCATGGATCATCCAAACGCTGAATCAATTTTGATTCATGCTCTTATATTTACTCTAATGCAACACGCGTTTTGGTTGAACAAGTGCAGTTCTCTCGGGCAGAGTCTTTTCACAAGCACTTATGTTGGAGAAATAAGTTTTGCCATCATAGTAGCAACTCTGGGTTTGGTTCTCTTTGCGTTGCTCATTGGGAATATGCAAGTAAGTCAATTGATATTTGTTGACTCAAGTACTTAAGCTTTAAGCACTTGATTAATATTAAAGAAATCTGGTATTTTAATGGCCTTGGGTTTGGGGGCTTGTACCTAGAGGCCTTATTTTATGCCTTAGCAATACACTCATACTGATGTATTGGCAGACCTACCTCCAATCTACAACAGTTCGGTTGGAAGAATGGAGGATCAAGAGAATTGATACAGAACAATGGATGCGTCACAGGCAACTACCCCAAGAATTAAGGCAGTCTGTACGAAAATATGATCAATATAAGTGGGTGGCTACTCGAGGAGTTGATGAAGAAACTATTCTTAAAGGCCTCCCTTTGGATCTCCGAAGAGACATCAAGCGCCACCTATGCTATGATCTAGTTCGACGAGTAAGTCTTAGTATCTATAATCTGTCTCAATTTTTGTTCTATATGCCGTGGTAGAAACTTCAGATATTGTCTGTTGAAACCCATTGAGGCCACTTGTAATAGGGTATCTAAAAACAAGTTGAAAGTAGCATTTGTGAAATTTTCTTGTTTGTTTGACTCCTCTAAAATTGCACAGGTTCCATTGTTTGATCAAATGGATGAAAGGATGATAGATGCGATATGTGAGAGGCTTAAACCAGCCTTGTCCACCCAAGGCACTACCCTAGTGAGGGAGGGGGACCCTGTTAATGAAATTCTCTTCATAATTCGAGGAAACCTAGATTCTTACACCACAAATGGTGGCCGTACTGGATTCTTCAATTCATGTCGAATTGGTCCAGGCGATTTCTGTGGAGAAGAACTGTTGACATGGGTGCTTGATCCACGTCCCAGTGTCATCCTTCCTTCATCTACTCGAACAGTTAAAGCCATTTCCGAAGTAGAGGCATTTGCGCTCATAGCAGATGACTTGACGTTCGTATCATCGCAGTTTCGAAGGCTACACAGCAAACAACTCAGGCACAAGTTCAGATTTTACTCACACCATTGGCGAACATGGGCAGCTTGTTTCATACAAGCAGCGTGGCGTCGGAATAAAAAGCATAAGAGTGCAGCAGAACTCAAGGCTCTAGAGGATCTGGTAGTTGCTGAATCTGTACAGTTACATGGAAAATTGGAGGTAAATGTGCCACCACCAGGGTCAGGCTTGGCTCTATATGCAGCAAGGTTGGCAGCAAGCACTAGGAAGGGTGTTAACATGGACTTTGGGTCAGATTCCAGTGCCATGAATTCCCTGCAGAAGCCACCAGAACCTGATTTTTCTGTAGATGAGGAATGAATGATTGGACAATTAACATCATACAATTGATCGAATAATGTGTATTGATTTTTC